GTATCGTCGACAAAAAGAACATTGTCGTTCACGTTGACGTTTGCGTGATCCTAAAAATATAATAGATATGATAAACATAAGTGAAGATGATAAAAAGCGCAGCGTTACCAAAGATCTGCGAGAAAATACATAAACTCAGACAAGGTACACGGTTGGCAGGCACAAAGACGCGTCTTTAACGCGTTTCTCTTAAGGGCATATCTAAGGAATTCTTCGCGCGTACTATCGTCTCCGCATACCTCTCGGTCTCGCAGTGGGAAACTCGTTCTTCTCGTTTCTACGTCGTCTTCATTTTATTGTATTATACCGTAGTCGCGATACGATCTAATGCCTATGACTCGCAGATTAGCGCTTACTTTGCATCTTCTAGCACACGATGCACACGAAGACCACGTGACACATAATAGCTCCCTTCGACAAATGTCCACAATCTTTCACCCCGAGTTTACATAGTGATAACATTTGTCGTATCTGTATATTTATCATTTATATCATTTATATCATTACACGATAAATTATGGTTTTCTTGATTTGTATTGGCAAACAGACAAAGAACAGCTGTTTATCTCTAATGTCAACTTTAATTAGAGAAAACTGATTTACACCACTTTTCCTCTTATGCCCTGAACAACACAGAACATCCTAATTATCCTGGATATGCTCAGGCATTTCCCAAGATCCTGGACACATCCTGTATGATTCTGGGACGTTTTGTGCTGGGTAATTCACTCTAATCAACAATCGTTCATATGAAGTTAAAATCCAGTCGAAATCCATTCTTACGATTTATAGTGGTAATATTTTCCCTATCTTGTCACGAGTGAAAACTATTTATTCGTTCTGAGTGAAATTTCACTTCAAGAAATTTGTGAAGCTTAATTACATATCCTCGAAATAAGGAAAGAAATATAATTCCAGCAGGATCTTCGGAAAAATCTGAATCTCGTTCGTCGACCGATGAGAGCGCTTAACGACGAACAGAACGGGATAAAACCCCTGGCAAGTCTTTCTTCCCTCGTCTTCAGCGTTCATCGTGGCACGTCGTGCGAGATAATGTGTACTTTACGATCCACTTCGTGCGTGTGTCGTACAGTTTCACTCGGCCAACAACAATCGGTTTAACCGCTAATACTCGTGGCCGCGCGAGTGGCGCGGCGAACCGGAGAGCCCATCGGGCAATAAACCTCTCCGAGGAACGTTGGAGACCGTTGGAGTGGTCCGCTGGAAAATCAGGACAAAGAGAGTGTAAGACGCACAGCCCTACGAGGCTAAACGACAGGCTTTATCGAGCGAGCGTTCCTCGTGAGAAACTTTTTCCGCGCGAACAAGGACTCGCGCGGTGTGAGATACGCGAGCGGAGGAGTCCTGAATTTTATGTAAAGTGCGCGCGGTTACGCAAGACTAACGCACGATTCAACCTTTTGCAACCTCTCTCGCGCTATCGCAACCGTGAAAAGGAGTCTCGTTTGTTATCCGCGTCTCCTTCACGTTATTCTATCAAATGCAACGCAATGCAACGCAATGCAAATATGTCTCGCAATTTATCTTTATAACGAAGTTACATATTTATATCGTAGATTTTGTAATCGGATACACTTCAGAGATGGTAAATTTTATAAGACATCTGTGCGATATACAGGGTGTCTCAAACGTCCATAATGACCCTTTGTGAGAACATAGAACGGATTAAGGTGAGTAAGAAAGTCCTGTGCCGTTTTGCGATATTCGCAATAATAGTCGAGATATTAATTAAAAAGGATTGGTGAATGATCACGCGCGATATAATAGATGAACTGCAGTGGCGCCGTCTGCCGTTATATACTCATACATTAAGTCAAACTGAACAAAAAAGTCCTCTACCATTTTGCAAATGGCCACATAGATTTTTAAATATTAAGGAAAATTGTTACATATATGATTGTATACTATAATACACAAATCGAAATAATAGAACGCTCCTTTATAGAGTTAACTAATAGTGAAATATTAATGGCACATAAGGAGCTAGCACGGATGTCTTAGTGTTATTAAATACTAATATAATTTTAATATTAATATGATTGGATATTTTTATCCTCTCACAATCATATTAATATTAAAATTATATTAGTATTTAATAGCACTAAGACATCTGTGCTAGCTCCTTATGTGCCATTAATACTTCACTATTAGATAATGTACAAATTTTCCTTAATTAATATCTAAAAATCTATGTGGTCATTTACAAAATGATAAAGGACTTTTTTATTCAGTTTAACTTAATGTATAAGTATACAATGGCAGACAGCGCCACTGCAGCTTATCTACCATATTGCGCGTGATCATTCACCAATCTTTTTTAATTAATATCTCGACTATTATTGCGAATATCGCAAAACGGCACAGGACTTTCTTGCTCACTTCAATCCGTTCTACGTTCTCACAAAGGGTCATCATAAAGGTCTGAGACACCCTGTATATATACACGGAGAGAATTTTATAGTAAAAGTTGTCCTTTTCTATAATACAAATTTTATAACCGGAGAATATACAGATCGAAATTCTATTTCAGAATTATAACCATATAATTATAGCCATATAATTGACTATCATTTCATACGTTCTGCTTGTATTTTAGAAACTGAAATGTGCTATTAAAATTTTGCCATGTTTCCAACGAAATAGTTCCTTGACAGAATAGACCTTTATTGACAGTCTATTTCTGCTCGACTAGAAACACACAGTGAAATTAGAGAAAAATCTGTATAATGAATCTATATAATCGACAAGAAGAATACATTGTGCGGCGTGCTTCACGACAACAACAAAAATTGCACAATCATCTCGCGGATACTACCTTGCAATTTCGCCGACCACCTTTCGACTTCGGTAATCGGTAACATGGTCGTAACATCGTGCGATTTCCCACCGAGTCATCGAAATTCGAGTCGAGTGGAGTCGTGTGTGTTTACAAATCGGCCATAATCGGCCGCGCAAATTGCTTGGAAATAAACATCGCGGTCGGTGGAATTTCGCGTGGTTGAAAATATGTGTTGAGCTCGCGCGTTTTAAACAATCTTTATCAACTGCGGTCGTGTCGAGACGGTTTCGTATCAAAGTGTACCCGTCGCATTACGTTTCCGTAGTTTACGATTAGCGTAATTCGTGCGTTCCACGCCTTTTGTGCGACTATCGCGCGAGAATGATGTGGGTAACGATTTCCTTCGCGAAATCGGCCGCAGTCTCGCACGCGTGCGATTTACTTTCGTCGCTCGTTGATACGCATTGATACGTCCGTGACGTGGGATTTGCGCGGTGCAATGTAACGGCCCGGTTTCTTCGACGTGTTTGCGCGTCGCCATCGGCTAGGTCGTTTCGCGCGCGTGTAAATTAAGCGATACGTGGGCACGCGTAGGATGCGCCGTGATGATCTGTCGGACGCGCCACCAGACGATAACGGGATCTCTAGTAATTCACCTTGTCAACGGTGAACGTTCTAATCATCACTCCGCGGCCAAGCGAGTTCAAGCCGGTGGCGGTGATTTTGCATAACGATCCCGCCGCGGAGCCTCGATCCGAATCGAATTCGCGCCGTTGCACACCCAAACAAATAGAACTTTAACGGGATCCTCTTATATATTGGCCTCAAGAGAACTCTTTTAATACTAAAAGGAAAGTATTTTAACATCTAAAGGAAAGAACTCTAATTGTAAGATGCTGTTTCCTGTAATTCTATATTGAATATGTTTACTTGAAGCAGAATTGTCTCTTAATAAAAGAAATTTCTGTCGAGACTTTCTATTAAGAACAAGAAATTCTAATATTAAACATATTTTTCTTTAGTTGGCGCCTATGTTTTTTTAAAAGTTTTAGAAAAATCCTCTTGAGAGGTCGATGCATAAGAGGATTCCGTCAAGGATGAGATTGTACTCTTTACATACGGTGCAAAAAGTACCGCTGAGAAACGCGCAACAGGAGCGGGCAAATTATCCCAGCAGGTGGTGGTTCGTTTGGCATTTCTGAAAATTGCCCTCGGCTCGCGCTCATTATAGTCTCGCGTTCGAGTTGCAAACGTGCTCGCCCGTTTTATTAGGACATAACGGATGTGTCCGCATCGAGTTTTTGCCGTGTGATGCGACCTTTGGTGCGCGCCTACCATTTAGCACTGTCGCGGAAAACCGAGATACGTCGGGCTGGTCCTAGCCTGGCTGGCAGGACACGTGGTGAGACCGTAAATTTCCTGGTTGTCTCCGCGTTATTCACCGCCACTACGTTGGCGGCGGCGGCCTTCGGTGTATCAGGAAGCACGATATCTCCGCGGCCGTTGCGCGAGAGCTGTATCCTTCTGATGCAAAGGTCATGCCGATATTCCACCGCATGGAATTTACGCCGGGGTTTTACGTGCTCGCGTTCGTCCTGGATGTGTTGTACGTCGAGATTTTCGAAATTTTCATATGCTCATCCTCAGGCAACTTGACGTTCCATTCAGCAGCCGTTTCGAGGCGTTCCATAGACCTTTAAGAGAAATTCAATTTGAGTACAAAAGATATAATCCTTATATTACATATGGCTTCAAGAGGATTTTTCTAAAATCAAAAGGAAAACATTCCAAATAGAAGATTCTCCTTCTATTTCTCTTCATATTCGAAAAAAAAGATATAACAAAAGATATAATCCTTATATTACATATGGCTTCAAGAGGATTTTTCTAAAATCAAAAGGAAAACATTCCAAATAGAAGATTCTCCTTCTATTTCTCTTCATATTCGAAAAAAAAGATATAACAAAAGATATAATCCTTATATTACATATGGCTTCAAGAGGATTTTTCTAAAATCAAAAGGAAAACATTCCAAATAGAAGATTCTCCTTCTATTTCTCTTCATATTCGAAAAGGGATACTCTTCCGGCAAAAATATTCGTTTGGAACATCGAATTACAAGAGAAAGTACCTCTTGCAACTAGAGTTCTCTTTTTTCTTCAGTCTTAGAACATCTTGAAGCATTCTAAATACTCTCGTGTTTAATTTAATTGTTTATTATCGTATATTTATACATATGCTAATATCCTATATTTTTTGTAGAACGTGTACTGACAGAACGATATAATGTTTGCTCTCTCATTACCGGACGCAAACTTCCCTCGAAAGAGGGGTGCGATCCCGCGTCGGCGAAAGGGTTGAGGTACGGCTGGCGACGACAGGGCGAGAGTACACGCTTCGTCGATCGCCGACAGTTCACTGTGTATATTCTTCTCGTAAAAAATCAATACAAGGGCGGCCAATGGACGCAGGTCGCCTCGGCGGCTTCGCATACATCTCCTGGAGCGCCGATTACGCGCATCGTACGCTCACTGCATTCCCCGGTCTTATCGCGTGGAACAGCACAGGACTTTCCATCTTGATACGTGTACATATTCGCTCCTGTATATAACCAATCGTCGTGTTTACCGACAATAGTCACTTCCACGCTCCGACTATGTCGTGGAAAGTCTGTCTCCGTCGACTCGATTTTCCCGACTCGTCTTGCCACGAGCGGTGCATCTTGGATCGCGAATTAGAGGAGAGAAAACGGCTGACGAAGTCGTCCCGCGAGCTTCTCTTGGGCCGTCAGAAAAGTATAACGCTTTTTGCACGGCGATCGAGGGAAGTGCTTGATACAGAAGACATGTAGTCAAGCAAAACGAGAATCGCTCGTCGTTTCGTTATATTCGCCCGTTACGTCGTCTGTACTATTTTTCTTTTTCTTCAACAGAGTCAACGTGACGCAATTAGAAATCATGAACATTAAACTGATTAACTATATATGATATACTTTATCAATCAAGTCAAAAACAATAACATGATAGGATTAGTGTGTGCCTTGTTATTATGATTAAGCGCGAAAAAAGAGCTACTTAGATTATCGTGATATGTTTGATGAAACGACTGTTGGCTGAACTAAACAGAATTTCTGGTTATTACGATGACGCATTCTGGCATTCAACGCTGCTTACAATACAAGTAGACAACAGATCTATCAATTAAAGAAATGATATAGCGCAAATTTTTCAAACGCAATATAACATATTGAATCAATTGAATGACTAATTTCAAACAAAATAATTATATACTAACAATATCTTAAGAAACAACTTTCAGTTAAAAAAGTAATAATATTTCTGATAAGAAATGTGAATATATATATATTTTTTTTTATTATTGTAACTCCAAATTTGTCAGGCTATTTAAACGCGTGTAACGAAATTTGTCTGATTATTTCAACCAAAATTATGTTTCGTTCATTTCTCAGTGAGCAGGTCTGCCTGTTAGTGTCTACTTAATTCACATTAGTTGAGCTAATTCTTTATTTCCGTGTGCAATTTTTTTTCTTCGTTATCGCTTCCATTGAGCTGATAAAGTGGTATTATTAAACCACCTAATCCGCGGTGAGCGCTCGATTTTTGATAACGCGCGTATTGAGCTTCCACTTGCCCGTTGGACCTGCGAGAGGATGACTGTCGCAATGAAAGTCTGACGTCGTTCTTCCTGCCGAAGAAGCAGCTTTGCTGTTAATGCCACTTAACCAACTGGCCGGAACGCTCCGTGATTATTGTCGCGTTCGCCCGTTCCTCGGTGAGAAAATGCTAATTGCAATTTGCGAGGAGTACCAGAAGTCCTCGTGCTGAAGAAAAGTGGGCCGTCGCTTTAGAGAAAGTGCGGTCCGCCGCTTCAAAGGAACTTTTCGCGTCTCTTTAGGTGCTGCACGCTCATTCACTCATTCATTTCAGAGGTCTTTTTGTCGCAGTCGTCCCACGAGGGAGTTGCGACGAGACGATTATTGTTCATTTCGACACATTTGCGAGAACACGCGTCGACGCGAGAACGCTGAGCATTTCGCGCCTTCTTCCGCGGAGGAACGCGGCACTGCCGGGATCGATCGGAGATCGATCCGCCGCGATGATTCGCTACTTTTCCTTTTTGTCCGCGACTGGTCTCTCACGAAAGACGCCTCGGGAGGGAAGAACGGTGCATACATATAATTATACCGAGCGAGCGAGCGAGCGAGCGAGCAGTCAACCCCCCTAGTCGAAATAATCGCCGGTACTGTTACCGCCGCTCTGACATAGCTGGTAGCGAGTGCGATTCCTCGCGGATCGCACAGCGCAGTGCGTCTTCGCTCAACATCGAATTCGAAACGGCTTTCGTTCCGCGTGGAATACGCGATGCGTATAAGTGCGCATACACCAGGACGATCGCGATATTCCGTGCAGTTTACCTGGCGAGCGAACAGACTCGAAAAGTTCTCAGAGAAACTATACGGAACTGAGTTAAGACGCGTAGACATTGAAAGAACAAGTATGTAAAAAGTAGAAAATATTTATTCGGCGGATACTAACAACATATTTATTTAAGGTTCCTTAATCGTCTTGATTGATTAAAGAAAATCTAGACTTCATCTGAAAAATATGTCATTGGTATCCAACGAATAAATATTCTTTCTTCTGGCGTATAAATGTTTCTTAATCGGCAAAGTTCGAGTCTACGGAAAGAGAATAGAGTCTTGCGCAAGTATCACTGCGTATGTAATGCACTTAGAGCCGCAATGCCGAGGAGTGAAGTGTCCGTTTTCGCGGGTCTCGTTGCGTAGCGATGCGAATGCGTGCGACACGCACGGCGAATGCGGCATTTAATCAGCCGCATAACAGATGGAAAAAGGCGCTTTCTCTTTTGACAATTCGCACGACGGGCGAAGACGACGTTCCTGGCTTGTTCACGCAGTCGAAAAGCCAGCGAGTGTGACCGGTTACTGTTATTCGAGGCTGCATTACATGGCGGTTGTGCCGTTGTTTGTTCTCCCGCGTATCTCGTTTGCGCTGCGCGCGTTTGCAACGCTCGCTCGCTCGAAGCGCCTTGCAAAATTTTTCCGCAAGTAACCGCGTTCCGCTAAATGCACAGGGGCGAACTTACATTAGCCGCGAAGCCTCGTAATACGTGTTTACTTATGCGAATGTACTTTTGGCGCGCCCGCGGCGATTGCCGCGTACATTCGCATAAATCAATTCGCGAGCGTCGCGTTCTCGCCACTAATTCGTGTATGCCACTAATTCGAATCGCTTGTCTCTGTGCTTTCAGCATCGGATACAGTTCGACGACACGGCGACCCGCACCTTCGAATATCCCAGCGAGGCGTCGATCCTCGAAGACGAGAGCAGCAGCGTGGACGGCGAAACCTCCAGCTCCGTCGAGCAGCAACAGTCCATCGCCGGCAATAACAAAACGTCCTCGACGACCGGCTCCACGACGAGCATACCGTCCCTTCTCGGTAAGCTTTCACCCTGCCTGAGTTCCTGTAACATGACGCATATCTCAGTAATTTTGTCAGTAGGATCTCTTTCGCGAGACTTATACAATGTGTCGTTAATCGAGCGCTCGTTACTCGTAGGTGGAGGCGGACTAGCCAGCTACACACCTAGCAAAGTGGATCTAACGTCGGAAGGTTTCGAGCTGGGCGTTACCAGGGCCGTGCCGATAGTGGTCCCCACGTCAACGTCCACGGGGCAAACTGAGAACGCGAGCGAACTGGACTACCTGAGGCCCGCTCAAGATGCAGGCGCGTGGGGCTCGGAGACAACCGGGGATCTTCTTTACTGAGAAGACGCGAAGCTCGTCATCATTAGCAACGGCTCAACAACGTCCTACCGCGGCGGCAATAGAACGAGAAAGTCGAGAAGAAGCCCGCGCGCTTTACTACAAGGCTAATAAGGAGTATTTTTTTCTAGCGGCGATAGAGAAACTCCGACAAAGGATTACGAACGCGAGATACTAATATTATACACCGCGAGGTTTAATAATAAAAAAGGGAAAAAAGAAAAAAAAACACATGACGAATGCTCACAACCGCATAAAGCAAGTTTCTTTTTATACGGAAAGCAAGTCAGACGTCACGCTCGTGATCGGACAATACGCCGGTGGACCCCGCAAATATTTCACTTGCTGCATTTGATTGAGCAGGGCTCTTTCTTTCTCTAATCGTGGAGAGGAGAGGATTAAAAGGTGTGATCTCCGTTTACGAGCGCGTCGATTCCGAAAACTAGGCGTTTATTTAGATGATTATTAAGTAAGAACTAACAGTATCATTCCAAGTATATGCATTTACTTTGTCATTACGATATATCGGACGAACGGACTTTCCTAGACAATGAATCGTCGAAACTGCCAAGATACGTTAGTGTTTCATCTCTTTTTTTTTTTGCTTTTGTAATAGCACTCGAGAGAGAGAGAGAGAGAGAGAGAGAGAGAGAGAGAGAGAGAGAGAGAGAGAGAGAGAGAGA